CCTAGCCCGCTGCCGCCACCCCCTCCCAGCCCCGCCATCGCTGGGTCCAGCTGCAGCTCCGCCATCTTGAGCCGCCGCCGCCGCTGCTGCCCGCGCGCCGCCGGGCCGGCCCATTTCTCGGCAGGGAGAGCCGGGCCGGCCCATCGGCGGGGGTGGGGCAGGGGGAGAGGGAGGGGGGCGCCCCCAACCAGAGAGCTGGGAGACCCGGGCGCTGGAGGCGCTGTGCCCGCCTTCGTGGGCGGGACTTCCGAAATAAATCCCGTTCTCTATTGGCTAATCTGTGATGCATGACCCGCCCAACTGACTTTAGGATTGGCTGACAGGAAGCCTTCCGGTGACCCACTTCCGTTACTTGCTGCTGGGGCTGAGGGCCTCCGGGGACGGTGAAGGTGAGTGGGGTTTCGAGGAGTCGGACCCGGTTCCCACGCGTCCCTTTGCTGTACCCCCTTGACGGCTCGCGCTGATCTTTGCCGCATTACTGCCGAGGACGCCAGATTGTCCTACCGACCGAGCGCCTGCGCGTAGCTGCTACTGCACCTTCCACCTTCCCCGCCCCCGCTCATTAGGTCGCCGGGCCTGGCTGTGACCCTGCCGTCCCGTTTGGGGTGCCCAGCGGCGCGGCGGCGTGCAGGAGCCCCGTTTTGAGGGTGAGGAAGCATTGCACGAAGACAGTCGTTAACTTGATCGAAGACGCCGAGGGTGGCGGGATGCAAATGGATTGGGCTTTTGAAAAGTCTTTGTAGGGCGTTTGGTTTCCTGGTGTCTTTAAAAGTCACTTGTCAACTCCTGTAACCCCGCGGTGCCTTCCAAGGAAGCTTAAGCTTTCCTGGAAAGAAAAGAAAGGAAGAGGCAGGTGTGTCTTCTTCCACCTCCTTGTGGTCCACCGTGTATGTAGGATGCCGAAGGCGTTGAAAGCCTCTTAAAATGAGCCGGGTTAGCGTTCAGCTGCTAGCCGAATGGTCGACCAGCGGCTCTGGAGGAGGAAAGACCTGGTGATCTGCGCTTGTTAAGATGTTGTTGTTGTTGTTAGGTGCCATCCAGTCTGTACTGACTCATAGCGACGTTATGCACAGCAGAACGAAACACTGCCGTATCCAGGCCCAGCCTCACTACTGTTTCCACGCATGAGTCCATCGATGCTGCCACTTGGCCAATCCATCTCGCTGGGGGTCTGCCTCTTTTTCTCTGACCCTCCACCCTACCAAACATGATATCCTTTTCCAGCGACTGGTCCCTCCTAACAATATGTCC